TTGTCATGTACTCATAAGCCAAAAAGCAATGAATCCTCTCTTTACAGAAACCTTTGAGCTTTACCAAGTGGATATGGTGGATGCTGCCTATGGTGGTGATTTCGGCTTGAAATTCTTTCTTTCCCTAACCAACACTATCTAGTTTTTTCACAACTATTTGAGTCCCATCTCAAAACATCCCTTTATAAACTGATTCTCATTTCTCTCTTATCCTCTCATATCTAAGAGAGATTTATATACTATCAACATCTTCTTCTTCTTCAAATCGTATTGTAGCCTCTAATTGCAATTAGAGAAGAGTTTGTATACCCATTATTTGATTGATAGTGGAGATTTTAACTGGACTAGGTCCCAAGGTTTTTCTTCCTCACACTGGGGAAATTTTTCACGTAGAAAAATTACTTGTGTTCTTGTGGCTTGGTGTGATTGATTATTTTTCTATTATTTTCAGCACATATAAAAGTAGAGATACACTATATTTGCTTGCATATAGGGAGAAGAGTTATTTCGCTGTGCTTGTTTATTGTTATCTCTCCCAACAGATATTGGGCTCACTTACAAGTCTCATTCCATCAAAGAAAAATTGATTTGGTAAAGGGTGTCTGTGGGAAAGCTAAAACTCTGCCAAAGCAGTTTAGAATTATTACCAATCAAAACCAAATTTCCTGAGTCAAGGAACTGCATAGCAGTAACTCCTTTACCTATAGTAGTTATGGACCATGCTATACCTCCTTGTTTCCCCAAGTATGCATTCCCAGTTTTGTCAAACACAAATTTATCAGAATCTGTAAGGGTGGAGCCTCTATTGGCAGTCCAAACAATTCTTGAACTAGGATAGCGAATTATAAGAAGTGAATTCAAATTTTTAAGCCAAGACCCTGCAAATTTTGGTTTAATTTGGCCAATCATTGGAACATGGGCAGAGGCACACGACATAAGGATAAGTGACAAACATATGGATGCTGAATATTGGAAGACACTCGGCAATACCTGGAAAGAGTTATTTGAATCAAATACAACTGCTTATTTGTAAACAAAATTAAACAAGAGCAACACAATTCTCTAAAACACTAATACACATTATTTATGCCTAATTACAAAGAGAGATACCAAAAATTTGGAATTCAGCCTACATGAATACGCATAAAAATTAATCAAAAAGCCTATGAGAGATCAAGGGAAATCATTCATATCAAGATTGAACCAAGAATAATGCATGTATATATTAGATGTGTGTGTGCATGTGTCTTTATATATTCAATGTATTCACATGTACAAATCTTAAAACTGCCCAATCTAAGAACTTTTTCCTAAAAAACAAATTAAAAATCTTCAAACGAAAAGGATCTTCTTGCTAATTATTTTCTATCTCTAGGACTAATTGCAGCGTCACCTCATTTCTTGATTGAATTTTTATGGAATCAGATGGGAGTATGCAAAACTTCATGGGACCTAAGATGAATCTTCTTCTTCTTCTTTTTCAGGCCTGCTTTGGTATTTCCATGGCATGGACAACACTTTTAGTTCAAGGTGTTTTGACTACTCAACGGTGGGTATGCTGATCTGAATTCAAGTCAAAATGCATGTGAACACTGCAACACAAATCCTATGCAAAAAAATTTTGAACTAGCCTACTAATCAATAATTTCTAATCTCTCTCAGTTTTATCTCCACTTTACTTGGTCTTGTGTTTTCAATAAGACTTATATAAAAATATATATATATATACTTGTTTACACCATAAATATTTTTCGGCTGGAAAGGTTTGTCGTGGCCAATCCCATTAGAAAGGTGATATGAAAAAGCGCAATCATGAAGCAACATGTGGCTTCATCAAATGAAGCCATTTGGTACAAGATCTGCAGTTGGAAAGACGTGGACTTTCCAAGGGGACACGTGGCAAACATCTGGAAAGCCATGTGTACCCTTAACCTAATCATCAAGAATGATAACTCCCCCACCCCTATAATATCTCCTAGTTTGTAGGAGTCACTCCAATAATAAGGCAACCACTCGCCTTATTTAGGTGAAGAGGTTGCTAAAAATTAGCAAAGTGGGCTAAAAATATGATGCATTTACCAAAGAAAGATGAGCAAAATGTGGGACATGTGGTATGATTTGGACCTTCCAGATATAATTTCTCAACTGCTAGAACTGCTGTCTTTACATTTGGGTAGTTACAAAATGTGGGATATGGCTTACAAACATGCATTCAACCGCCAAAGTCCACTATTTATCAGTTATAAATCATGGGAGAACATGTTTTTACATGTGTCAACACTATGAGAAGATGAGGAAAATGTGGGACACGTGGCATGATTTAGACCTTCCAGATAAAATTTATCAACTGCTGGAACTGGTGCCTTTCCATCTGGGCAGTTACAAAATGTGGGATAAGGCTTACAAACATGCATTCATCCGCCAAAGTCCATTATCTATCAGTTATAAATCATAGGAGAACATGTTCTTACATGTGTCAACACTATGAGAAGACTAAGAAAGACATGGGACATGTGGCAAGATCCGGACCTTCCAAGTGGAAGTTCTCAACTGCTGCTGTAACTGCTACCTTTCCAGGGCAGTTCCAGAACATAGGAGAAGGCTTGTAAGCATGTATTCAACCACTAAGTCTATCATCTATCAGTTATAAGTCATGGGAGAATATGGTTTTACACTTGGCAACATTTAGAGATGGTTGAAAGATCATGGGACACATGACAGTCCAAGATTTGGCCACGTGGAAGCTGTTGAAGCTACCACATCAAGCTACTACATGCATGGAAAGCTCTATAAATAGAGCACTTACGCTTCACTTGAAAACCTTATTTAAATCACACAGCCAAACAGTACTTCAATATCTTTACATTCATGTCTCTTTACATTTATGTAATACAATTTCAATATGTTTAATTCAAGTCCCGCACTTATCTTTCTTACTTTCCAGCACCTTACTTTGAAGTCCTACACTTTTAATACAGCTTTCCTTTCCACTAGCCATAGTTCAGTCCGAAAGTCCTTTTTCAAGGCAAAAAAAACCTTTGAAGGTGGTAATTCCAGTTCTTGATTCAATCGCCTGATCCCTACAATCTCCTACTAGATAGTTGTTCAGATAACCACTTTGGAATGACAGCAGTTCTTAGCACGCCTGACATCCACTCCTACTTTCTATTCACTTGGAAAGTGGAATCTCGGTTTTTAGGAGCCGAACATTATTGGCACGCCTGGTGGGACATTCTAGACAGACTGTTCAATGGCCGGTGGAAGAAGGCAAGTTAAGTTTGTCTAAGAACCTGCCGAACTAAAAGAGATGTAAGGCAGTGAACTTCCAGTGGAAAGTTCACGATTCGTACCTGATGAAATGATATGGTGGAAAAATTTGCTCAAACAATGGCAAATGGACTCATCATGGAAAACATCCGCATGTTGGCAATGCAACAAGATAGGTTTACACAAGACCAAGCTAGAGTCACTCAAGACTTAGCCAGAGTTACGCAAGACTAATCTAAAGCTAGTCGAGACCATACAAAAGCCGCTCTTGCCAACGAGCAAAAGTTAGAAGAAATGGTAGACCGAATCTCTCAAAGGTTAGAGTCTATGTTGGAGCGAACCCTTGGTAGCTCAAACCAAGGTTTGGCTCCTCGGCCAAACAACTCTGAAGGGTCTCAACAGTCGGCCTTCCAAGTTAGCAGGCTAGCCACGTTTGTTGAAGGAAGTTCCTCTTAGCAACATGCAGGGCCGTTCCCTCCAACTCAGCAGCAGGTGTAGTCCCTTCCAATGGCACAGACTTACATTTCAGGTTCACCTGTCACTGCTCCAGTGGCACAAATGATTGTTCCACAAGCTGTGCCTATGCCAACCATCCAGCAAGTTCAGAATCCTACACCTGTGGCATGATCAGCCTGGCCAACCATGGCCATGCCATAACCCTCAAGCACAATAGAGTGTTCCACCTGTGAACATTCAGCTAGCCGCACCTATTCCAGTAAGGCCACCCATGGTCATTCCTATGGCGGTTAGGGGGCAACCTTTTCCAAGGGAGCCACTTCTTGACCAAGAAAGAAGGAACCGTGGCAGGAACAATTACGAGATGCCAACCCCTTACTTATATCGGGTGGGGGGCATCATGTGGCCAATCAACCTCAAGGTTGGCCAGACAATAACCCTCTACAACCTATAGCGCTTGATAGAGGCCAATTTACAGAATTCCTTCAATAGGAATTTGGCCTAACTCGAAGGGGTGGAAGGCCAACTTATAGAAAGCCCTATCCAGAGTTCATTGATGAAGTTGAATTTCCAAGAAATTTCATAATTCCAGAGTTTGCAATGTTCAATGGAGAGGGCGAACAGTCTACCTTTGAACATATTAGTCAATTCACTGTCCAATGTGGAGAAGCAGCAGCCAATCCATGGTTGAAAGTATACTTGTTTCCAAACACACTGACTGGATATGCTTTCAGGTGGTATTCCAACTTGCCAGTCAATTCCATCCAAAGTTAGCAGCAATTTGAGGATTTATTCCATACTCAGTTTTATAGAGCTGAGCCTGAAGTATCCATGACAGACCTTTCCAGACTTTATCAACTACCTAGAGAGTCTGTGATGAGCTTTATTTCCAGATTCAGGCGGGCCAAGTACAAATGTAATTTGTCTTTGTCGCCAGAAGAATATGTGAAGATGGCTATAAACGGCCAAGAATTTGAACTTCGTAAGAAGTTTGAAGGTGTACAATTTCATGACTTGTTTGACTTGGCCGACGGAATGGCTAAGTATGAAGAGCTTCTTAATGAGAAGCAATACCGGAAGAGCTCTTCCAAGGGCACCTACTAATTATGAAGTATACACCACTAAAACGGATGGGGAGTTGGAAGTAAATGTAGCCGAGCACAACATGAAGAAGGCCTATACTTGTGAGGCTTTGATAAAACCAAAATCAGCCACAACCAACTTACAGGCCGCCTCTGGTTCCAAGTGGAAGGGGGCAGACTCTCTTTGATTAACTCATGGCTAACAAACAACTGATTTTCACAACAGGACACAAGATGCCAACGGCCTCTGAAATGGCCGAGAAAAACTATTGCAAGTTCCACAATTCATGGAGGCATTCCACTAACAATTGTGTTATCTTCCGTAATATTATGCAAAATGCAATTGAAGATGGCAGGTTGAAGTTTCCAGAAAAAATAGAAGTTATGGGTGTTGATGGAAATCCTTTTCCTAAGGTCATGGCCACAAACGTGGCTTCTCTTGCCTCGGAACACCCTAAGAAGAAGGTGGGCTTGACAGGTCCAGCAGCCAGTGGAAAGCTGGAAATTCCTAAGGCAGAAGCATCCATGGAAAAAACAGTGGCTGAGTTGGAAAGGCAACTCCAAGAGGCCCAGATTACTTTAATCCAGAAAGGTTGTTGCCCTAAGTGTAAAATTCAGAATGAAGGTTGCCATGGAGATTTTCCAAAAGAGAAGCCAAAAGAGAATTTCTCCAATAGCGACTGAGGTCAGAAACGGAAGGTCCATGACCGGCTAACTTTCCAGAAAGTGGAAAAATTAGTTACTGTAACCATTCCAAAAAAGGAAAGCCGGGTCCATATAGAAAGAAGGGTAGTAATAAGGAAACCAGAATTCCTTCCAAGGAGCATGGAAATGAATAGGGTTACTTATGAGGCAAGTTTCGTCCTAGCAGAAAGTATGAAAGTGGCAGATGGCAAGACAGAGGTTCTGAAGGTGAAAGGTATTCCAGGCTAAGATTGGCCTTAGAAGTATGGGTTAAAAAGGGGAATGAGCATCTCTGACCAAGAATGGTTAAGCCTCCCATCTTGCAAAGTAATAGGTGGGAGAGGCTTGGTCATCCCAAGTTCCCTATCCATGATGATTCCTATATGACTCGCACACAAAAGTGAATGCAACAAAGAAAGAGGGCTGATAGAAAGAAATTATAGGAGAAAAACCATGGCCGGTCCAATTAGCCAAAGAAGATAGCTAAACTGTCAGACTTGTCAGAACTTCCAACTAAAGGAGGGGTTAGAGATCCTAATGATTTATTGGATTTGGTTTTAGAGGTTGGAAATTCCTTGATTGCGGATGACCCTCCTACAAGAGATAGAACAGACTTGGAAATCTCCAACAGTTCCAGTAGCAGCAAGAAGATCTGTTTTGGGAGCCTTAGGTGAATTTACTTACAACTGGCATTTGAGGCCTTTCCATTCTTTAGCCTTGAAATTACTTTGCCAATTTGATGATTTCCAACTAAAATATTGACCAAGACATTTGAACATGGAGGCTGATGATCTAGCATAACTAGCCTCTCGAGTGAAAGTCCCACTGGGTGTAGAAGAGACCATGATCACAATCAAAAGAATGACTCTACCTGCTATAGAGTCACAACATGAGATGGCACATCATTTCTAAGCTAACGAGCCAGAAATAATGAAACTTGCCAAGAAGACATGGGAGATTTTCAATGTTGATATAAATGGACTAGACTTAAAAGATTGGAGAATACCAATTATCCAATTCTTGCAGGAGCTTAGTACCAATGTGGATAAGAGGGTTCAGCTTTTGGCGCCATATTACATTTTGATTGATGGAGGATCCCACAAGCATCCTGTGAATGGGGTATACTTGAAAGAGTATCACCCTTCCATCTATGAAAACTAGAAATCCATAATCATTCAACCGGCTATGTAGAATGACTGGTATCTTCCTTTCCAAGTAAACCAGAAAGTTGGAAAGGAAGCGTAATAGCCATACTTCGGCCATTCTAAGAGTTAAAGCTAAGTACTTGGAAAAGTACATTGGCTAAAGTTATGAAGCAGACTTAGCTAAATTTCCAAGATCAACTGATTTCCTAAGTATGGAGCATTTCATTGAGAAGAGGTTACATTACATGGTCCAGGTTTTATTCATACTAAAAATTACTCATCTTGCTTATACATGCATTTGAATGTTAGCAATTCCAAGTTAAGTCCAGCCATATTGAAAATACTTCAGAAACTTTTTCTTATCATTTTGCTTTATACAAAATATCCCCTCCTTCTTCCAGTACTTCCAATTCCACTTCTTTTTCTTCAATTTCTTTTTATTCTTCTTCATGATGGCGGAATTCAAATCCCATCCCTTATTATCAAGTTGTTCCACAAGGCATGGAATTTGGGGGGCATATGTTTACACCATAAATATTTTTCGGCTGGAAAGGTTTGTCGTGGCCAATCCCATTGGAAAGGTGATATGCAAAAGTGCAATCATGAAGCAACATGTGGCTTCATCAAATGAAGCCATTTGGTACAAGATCTGCAGTTGGAAAGACGTGGACTTTCTAAGGGGACATGTGGCAAACATCTGGAAAGCCATGTGTACCTTTGACTTAGTCATTAAGAATGAGAACTCCCCCACTCCTATAATATCTCCTAGTTTGTAGGAGTTACTCCAATAATAAGGCAACCATTTGCCTTATTTAGGTGAAGACGTTGCTAAAAATCAGTAAAGTGGTCTAAAAACATGATGCATTTATTGAAGAAAGATGAGGAAAATGTGGGACACATGGCATGATCTGGACCTTCCAGATAGAATTTCTCAACTGCTAGAACTGTTGCCTTTCCATCTGGGCAGTTACAAAATGTGGGATAAGGCCTACAAACATGCATTCAACCGCCAAAGTCCACTATCTATCAGTTATAAATCATGGGAGAACATGTTCTTACATGTGTCAACACTATGAGAAGATGAGGAAAATGTGAGACACGTGGCATGATTTGGAACTTCCAGATAAAATTTCTCAACTACTGGAACTATTGCCTTTCCATCTGGGCAGTTATAAAATGTGGGATAAAGCCTACAAACATGCATTCAACCGCCAAAGTACACTATCTATCAATTATAAATCATGGGTGAACATGTTCTTACATGTGTCAACATTATGAAAAGGCTAAGGAAGACATGGGACACGTGGTAAGATTCGGACCTTCCAGGTGAAAGTTTTCAACTGCTGCCTTTCCATCTAGGCAGTTCCAAAACGTGGGAGAAAGCTTGCAAATATATATTCAACCACCAAGTCCACCATCTATCAGTTATAAGTCATGGGAGAATATGGTTTTACACTTAGCAACATTTAGAGAAGGTTGAAAGATCATGGGACACATGGCAATCCGAGATTTGGTCACATGGAATATGCTGAAGCTGCCACATCAAGCTGCTACATACATGGAAAGCTTTATAAATAGAGCACTTATGCTTCACTTGAAAACCCTGTTCAAATCACACAGCCAAACAGCATTTCAATATCTTTACATTCATGTCTCTTTACATTTATGTAATGCAATTTCAATATGTTTAATTCAAGTCCCACACTTATCTTTCTTATTTTCCAGTTCCTTACTTTGAAGTCCTGCACTTTCAATACAACTTTCCTTTCTACTAGCCATAGTTCAGTCCTAAAGTCCTTTTTCAAAGCAAAAAGAACCTTTGAATGTGGTAATTCCAGTCTTTCATTCAATCGCCTGATCCCTACAATCTCCTACTGGATAGTTGTTCGGATATCCACTTTGGAACGACAGCAATTCCTGGCACGCCCGACATCCACTCCTACTTTCCATTCATTTGGAAAGCGGAACCCCAATTTTTAGGAGACAAACAATAATAATAAGAATAATAAACACATAAATGGGAAAACAAAAAAAGAAAGAAAAGAAAAACTAGGTTAAAAGACAACCATAGAGTATAGTCCTTTCCTGGTCATAGTTTACTAATAATTAATAATCATGGAGGCTATGGAGAATGTTCAATTTACACTCTCTTTGCACAACAACCACGGACCAGGATCACCTCCAGTCCCACAATGCCCCATTTCCTCCATTTTAGGTCAATGAACAGTGTTAACCATGTTTGGGTAAAAAATATATTTTTGGAATACAGAATTTTGGTGTGTGTATATATATATATATATATATATATACTGTTGCAGAATACCCTTTTTGTGTTCCCTCCCTTATTTCTTCTTCCTCTTCCCTCTCTCATTTCAGGCGACATTTAAAATAGAAATAAAATCCCGCCCTAGCCTTCGTCTCTCCCAAAATATGAATGAAGGCATTTTAGAAATTTATTTTTTTCCAAATAGAATCCAGAAGCAGCGATTGTTGTGTGACTAAACCCAAAATTTGGATGCTACAAATTGTTTCCAAATCGAAGTAGCAGTTCTGTCAGTCGCAATGAAATTGCAGATTCTGATTTCCTTCCAAAATGAAGCAGCAGTGTATTTCCAAAGCTAAGCGGGAGTGTATTTCCAAATCGAAGTAGGAAATCGCCTTATTTCCAACCCTAATCAGGTACGATTCATAATTTTGAGATTTTATTTTTTAGGAAATCATCTGATTTCCATAAGAACTGAATGGCAGAAACAAATATATATATAGACACAATTTTGGTAAGAAACCCAAAAATAGAAAATTATTGGTGAATTTAATTGATCGCTATTTTATTGTTCAGTTATCAGGGGTTTTAATGTTTTTTTGTAAGGACAAAAAATGAGAGGATTTGTAAGGTACATGACTGGCCGGAAAAGAATGTTTCAGAGTGTGAGTGTTACAATGTTAAGAAAATGTTTGGTCGTTGGAGTTGCATCGCAACATTTTCCTAAGTTGCATCCCAACTTTCCCCTTATAAGCATCCCAAACTCTTTCTTATTTACATTCCAATATTTTTGTAAAGTGAGTCACAACATTTTCCCAACGTACATCCCAAAACCTAGAAATAGAAAATTATTGGTGAATTTGAATTGATCGCTATTTTATTGTGCTGTTATGAGGGGTTTAAATGTTTATTTGTGAGGATAAAAAATAAGAGGATTTTTAGGGTACATGACTGGCTGGAAAAGAGTGTTTCACAGTGTGAATGTTACAATGTTGAGAAAATGTTTGGTCGTTGGGCTTGCATCGCAACATTTTCCTATGTTGCATCCCAAATTTCTCCTCAAAAGCATCCCAAATTCTTCCTTATCTACATTCCATTATTTTTGTAAAATGAGTCACAACATTTTCCTAGTTTACATCCCAAAATTTTCATAATATAAATCCCAAAGTATTTGTGCAGTATATCCCAAAATTTTCCTAATGCGAATCCCAAAGGTTTCGTAAATTACATCCCAACTTCTTGAAAGGTACATTCCAAATTTTTCCTAAGGTGAGTCCCAACTATTTCGTAAGGTGAATCCCAACTGTTTGGTAACGTAAATCCCAAATTTTGTGTAATATTAATCCCAACATTTTCAGAAAGTGTATGTGAAATTAGCATCAATTGGTTGGACATACATGTTCTGTTGTGGCAACGAGGATTTTTATCATCGTTTCTCTGGGATATACTTGATTGATACATGCAAAGAAATGAAATGAATGAGATATATGTCAAATTTAATTTCTCATACATGTGAAAAGGTTTTTTATTTGATTCGTCATACATGTGAAAATGTTTTGTGTTTGAGACATTGAGATGGAACATACTTGGAA